TGGACATCACCAATATCCGCACCAAGGAGCACGCGGTCTTGGTTGCGGAGCCGGCCTCGGTCGAGATGCCAGCCAAGAGTGAATCGACGCCCTCGGATGTCACCACCAAGAAGGCTGACGAATCGCGGCGCGAGAGCCTCTCGTCATCTGATTCATCCGATACTGATGCCGAGCTGCCAGCAGGACACCTACGCAGCCGCAGTTCTGCAATACTACGTCGACGCCGATTAGCCCGGTGACTGCGCACGGTCATTGTCTGATGACCATCGGCAAGGAGTGGTCGAGAATGTCGAGAGCTTGCGGCTGAAGGACGATGCGAGCACGAGCAACAACTCGGACGATGTGCACCATCTGTCCTCCACCTCAAAGTCCCCCCCGGCCGCTGCTAATACTGTTCCGCCGATGGAGGGTCAGCTAAGGTGATACAGGAATCAAAAGCGCGCTTCTACTTTCTTCATTCCACTTGCCGCACAAACGTACATACTATCGTTATTCTCTTTCATTTTTTTTATTTCTCTTTGCGGACTCGTTGCTGGCCATCGGTGAGCTTCCAAAAAGATGCATTGTTTCCAGTAGATGAAAACAGCCAAGGCAGCGGAGCACATGGCAACATGGTCGTGAGGCATCTCACTGGCGTGGGCATGCAGCGAGTACACCATGTCGCAATATGCCTGCACGGCTCCTTATCCACCCTTGACGACAAGTGCCCCTGCCTGTGACAGATACAGCTCTCCGCACCTGCATCTGCTTACGTCACTGTCCTGCATCAAGGAACCGAGCAGACACAACATGAATCGCCATATCAGCAGGGAAAGGTGATTATCCCACATCCAGCTGCCATGAAATGGGGCAAGGAGGCGTTGGCGCCGAGTAGCTTCGCCCCAAGTCGAGCGGATGGGCGGAGAGCCGAACCAAACACCCTTTATATTCGACCATTTCGGCAAAGTTTCTACTGAATCAAATATACTTCAACCTATTGCAAGCAATCGCTATAATACGGCCTCAGCCCAACCACTCCTGCAGACCATTTCCTCTTTGTTCACAAACTAAACCGCCTACATGATCGGCTAGCATCTAACAAAGACCAGTGGCTGTTTGCCAGGTGTCCTCTACCTGAAAGTGCGCAGCAGCAAGCTTATAGTGTTGCCTGGCCACATCATCAGTGAATGCTTCGATTTCTTTTCACTTTTTCAATCTGTTTTCCATGCTATTTCCTACTAGAAATACTCTGCTCGCGATGCGAGCTCAGCTGCTAGTCAGCATGGGTTGACACGTCGATAAGAGCATCACGGCGAACCGGTCATTTGAACGTGTCGGATGGTTGTTGGTGCAATGTCGATCATGGACATCTCCTGTCTTGATGGCCTGCCTCAGCGCAGGCGCTTCAGCGCTGGCTCGCTGCTGCACGCCTCTTGCGCGACCTCTTTTGTTGCAGGGGTGGTGCCAGAAGCATCGGCAACAATGGCCGTAAAGCGATGGAACCGTTCAGGAATACCGCCTGAATCACAGAATGACTGGAAAACGAGTCTGAAGTTTAGAACTGCTGCGAGATCGCGGTTCAAGAGCCGAGATGAATAGGCCCGGCCTGTATTGTGCCATGGCCCGCTTACATGACTCGCTTGTACAGCGGAGAAGGCCATGGCACTTCACAATTGGGTTCTTCGATCTCTGGTAGGGCCGCGGGTTGGGAACATGCCGGAATGTCTGCAGCGACTTTTCGCAGCAGAACGGGCACATCGACGATGTCCGGAATTCGTCGATCAGATAGACTTCAAAGCCATGGTGCTTGAACTTGTCGCGCCACCCCTTGCCACGAATCGGCGCATGGTGTCGGGCCATTGGCGCACTCCAATTGCCCATGATTAGCACTGGATCTGGACCGAACTTGCTCCGGAGTTTTGCGGCAAGCCTGTGGTCTGCACGGGCCTGGTTCATGAATGAATCAAGGTGCAGCTTGCGGTGAAGCGGGTACACCTTGGGACTGGTACTGACACCTGGATGGGCCTTCCAGCGCCTTTGGTGCTGCTTGTTTGACTTAGTGGGCTGCTGCTCTGGTAACCTTCGCGCTGTCATCGTGCTGGCATAAAATGGTGCTAGGATACACCGCACAGATGCACGGGCAGCAACGTAGGCATGGAATTTTGCTGGGCTAAGGGTCCGGCAGCAGTGCTTGGAAAGCTCTGCCTCTGCTCTGCGGACAGCATCTTCTGGGACTTGATCCTTTGTATCCCGACGAATCCTGTCATAGTGGCGCAGCTTGAGCTCCTTATTGCGCTGCTGCCGTGTGTAGCGGTAGAGCATTTTTTCACCCTCTTTCCCATTGCTGCTATTTTCGTGCATCATGTATAGCAAATCGCCCCGACCTGGATCGATAAATACACAGCGGCCTTTCAGATTCTGCAGCTCTGGCTGTGGGATCTGGTGGATATAGTGACAGTCAGCTATAGTACTGCCTCCCACAGCATCGCCTCCCACAGCATTGCCTGTAGCATCGCCTCCCACAGAATTGCCTCCCGCAGAATTGCCTCCTGCAGCATCGCCTCCCGCAGCATCGCCTCCTGCAGTTGCTGCAGTGGCCTCTGTTGCATCTGATGGCATCTTCGCTGCTTCGCGTGCAGCCTTCTTGGCCAATTTTTCACCCCTTTCTGCTGCTTTCCTTGCCTCTGTTGCTGCCCTCTTTGCTGCGTTGATCTTGGTAGCCTCCTCACGTGTTTTCGAAACAAACACCTGCTTGATTATTTGCTTGTCCAAACGCACATGGCCTGGGATCCATGATGTCTGCAGAGGCAAGCATTGGGGAGGAGACTTGCCAAGCTGCTCATTCTCGATAAGCTGGCATAGACGAATGTATGCATGCAGATGCTTAAGTGGATTTGCCTTGGCATCATAGTATCGGCTGTCTTTGGCGAATCTGTACTTGGCATCATAGGCATTAAGGACTGGTGCCAGCTTGCTGTAGATTGCAAGCATCGGTGGGGTGAGCACACTGAGATCAGGGTGCCTAGAGGCAATTGCCTGGCGGAGCTTCTGTGCAGGCGTATAAATATACACTTGACATGCATTATTGAACTCAGCCTTAGACACATTGCCCATTGTACTGTGCAGTGTGTTTTTGCGGCTGCGAATATCAATCAATTTGGCCAGAATCCGCTGTAGGCAAGTGCCATAGTGCAACACAATGTTGTTCTTGTATGCTGTCATCAGCTCAGTATCCACGTATGTTGCTACTTGATTCATTTCGCGTACGCCATGTAGCTCGATATCGCCATTATGCAATAGATAATCATAAGTATGGTATCTAACTACATCACCGAAATCTGCGCTCGACAGTTCTGACTTGTCCTTCCGGTTGACGAAATCCTCGGCAGATATGACAGTCTTCGCCTTCAGGTTGCGATAAATGAATAAATAAATGGAACGAAAGAATCCCTTTTTCACAAATGTTGCTGGGTCAAAGGCATCATCGTCAGCTAGCTGATAGAGTAGTATCCATCGTGCAAGCATGTATGTATGCTCTTTGATGATATTGACGCTGTATACAAATCGTTCTAGGCGGGGCAACATAGAATCACGGAAGCCAATACCACCAAGTGATGTCTTTATGACAGTAGTGCTGCGGGTAATATTCATTTGAGAAATTTGGTAGGCAAAGTAAGAAGAGAAATGATGCTGTTCAGTTTTGCTTTATTGCGTATGCATAGCATTAAGAACTTTTTATTAATAATGATCTGGCTTGCATGGTTCTTGAGGCTCTTGGCACTGATACAGTCTTTTGAATCAGTCTATACAGACTGGATCCATTGTGGCCCAAATACTACTGCTTACGCATGTTCATAAGCCAAATTAATTTATAAAATAAACCCACAAATATTGCATGGCCGCTAGAAGAGCTATATGGCCATATTCAATAGATGCTCATAAATAAATATCCTAAGAGTGTTGCGCAGCTGGTGATGACCACCATGATGACGCCATGGAGGTTATCAGGCCGACCGACAATGAGAGCAGCTCTTGCGCTGAACCAATGGAGATTTCTAGTGGAGACCTATGACCACTACAATAACAACTTGTCACCCTGGTTTCACCGATGAGGTCAGATGCCGCACAAGATCAAAAAGGAGTTTATAGAGTAAGTCACTCAAACCCATGTTGAAGCTTAAGAGTTTTTTTTAACCAATTAAATAATTTCTAGCGGACGGTCGGACACTTTTTGGACTATAAAATCTTACATATAGGTAAAGATAAAGATAAAGATTTCCATGTGTTGACATTCGGGGTCCGGAGTCCCCCTGCGCCACCATAGACAAGGCCGAAACGCATACGTACAAAGGCCCAGACAGACGATCAGCCTTCCTTCTTCCCCTCAGTCAATTTTTGGAGAAGTTATTTTGTTCCATATATTCGATAACCACTCATTCCCCAAGTTAACACCATGGACTCAATCTTTCAGACAACTAATCCAAAATATGTTCACTTCAGACGACGCTAATAAGAATACAGGTGATCCAGTACATGCTGTGGAAGATGGTCAAGATCAAAGGTCAATGGCACCACAGTTCCTCAAGCGCGCCAAGACACCCTGCATGCTGTTTTCACAAGCAAACTAGAAGCGTGTGCGCAAGGAAAGTCCTGAAGCCAGCTTTGTCAATGTCGGCGATCTTCTGGGCATCATGTGGACAAATCTAGCCAAGACAGAGAAGGCTGTATATGTGAAGATGGCCAGAAATGACGCGGAACGCTACGAAAAGAAGCTGTGCTGCGATAGGACCACGGCAGCGTATAAGCCAACAAGGCAGTCAAGGATTTCTTACCATATAATTAGATGACCTTTCTTGACGATGAAGTGGCAAGGGCATTCGAGCAAAGGTGCTGTAAAGGTGCATTACATGGCTTCACATTTGAGTAGCAAGCACTCAAAGACGTGCTCAACCGTGTCTTTTCTTGCGCAGGTCGTATACATATCGACGAGTTTGTACTGCATGGCATGTGCAAACTTGTTGAGTGCATCGCCTTCTCCTTGCCACCCACTCCTCCCATCCGGCACAATTTGGCGGCAGATGTCCATACTTGGTTCTTGGAACAATATACACAGGTCTCATCTGCGCTGCGACCGAAAATTCTGTGCTCTGCTCCATTCATATCCAGAGGAATGCCCAATAGTTCAGAAAATGATGGTATTTACGAATATACTGACAGTTTTATGTTGCAAGAGCGCTATCGCCTGGCCCTTTTGGTACAATTTTTACAGAGTGAGCCTCCAGCTGGGTCGAGATTACTGGCAGTTGGGGAAAGCCAGCTTTGATGAGGGCGTGTTGAACAGGCTGATCTCGGCATTACGGCGGCGGACAAGCCCATCAAACACTCTTCCACCAGCCAGGCGCCACTTGGGCAGCTCCTGTGCAGCCACCGTGCCTGGATTCTCGCCGGCATTCAGCCGCCTGATCAGGGTCGATGACTTCGCGTTGGAGCAGCCGACATTGAACACCCACGATGTCAGTGCACCCCACTGGTTGTCGTTGAGCATGATCGAGCTCTTGAGGTACGTGGCAAGGCACGACGAGTAGGCAGGGATGTCGTCGTTGAGCAGGGCGTCGGCGGTGGACTGGCTCAGCGGGAAGCCGTACTTGACCTCACCGCAGCCCTTGGTCTGGCATCGGTGGCCAAAGCCGACAGTCGGCAGGCCGATGGGGTCAGGCGAGGGAGCTGCCACGAATTTGTTGGAGCTCTCATACTCTTTGATCAGGCTGACAGCCGCAGAGTTCAGAGTCCTGCAGAACCCGCTGCCGCCAGTGCTGCCGGTGTTGCTGGTGCTGCCGGTGTTGCCAGTGTTGCCAGTGTTGCCACCAGATGCACCACACTTGTCAGCGACGTAGCTGCTGGTTCCGGTTTTGACATAGTAGTCGGCGACATAGCACCCGTCCTGGGTTTTGTCCCACAGCGAATCGCCCTTGATTGATTCACCTTCGGTCTGGCAGGAGAGCGTGACGTCGTCACCACTGCTGTATGAGCGGACAACACCGTAGCTTGTGCCAGGGCCAGAGCGGCAGTTAATGTTGTTTCCCTTGATGGCATACCCGGACGCAAGCTGGGAGAGGGAGACGAGGGCAATGGCAGAGATGGAAGAGATCTTCATGGCTGTATGTTGAAGGGTTTTTGCGGCTGTGTAAAAGCTAATGTTTTTGTTGGAATCCGAGTGTTGATGCTCTTTCCGCTTTTCGCTGGAAGATTCCTCTAGCTTTTATATGCGTGCCCGGTTACCAGCTCATCACCAGTGCACGGTCATGATATGCACAGGCGCCATGTGTGCCTGCTGACTAAAGGCTTGGGGTGTAATTTTAGAAAAATCACAAAAGACCGTCGGCGCTATTATTAGTCCATCACCCAGTTTGACCAAGTCGGTGCAAGGTGAATACATTGGCACAAGTGCATGCAGCAGGATGAAAACAGGCTTTGCATAGTGCAAAGACATGGCAGCAGGGCTGAGCAGCAGCGGAGATTGAAAAGCCAGCGGTGCTAAAAATACCTTGCTCTTGCAGTTTTGTGCTGATTCCTGGTTCTCCTACTACAGGCGCAGATGCAAATACGGGAAAGGGACAACTATTACATAACCAGTCTCAAGCAGGCCGGATCGAAATCCCGATGGGAACTGGAATAATCCATTTGCTAAAAATACATGTTGCCTGGGATGCAGAAGCCACTGGGTAGCAGGTGTGCTGTGTGCTTGACACAATGAAAAAGAATGCAAAGACATGGTGTGAGGCTATGTGTACACCTACGGCAGTCGTCTACATTATAGTCGTGATCTACGAGCATGTATCCGAGATATATAAGGAGTCTAGATAGCAACAGTGCCGTTAATGAGGAGCACAGACATGGTAGAACAGAGTGCCACAGCGCAGGCACTATGGCCATGAGGCAGGTAGTCTGTTTTATTTGTCTCAACTGTTGTAGTCTGGATGCTATTCTGTGGACATACTGGATTGGACATATGTCTTCATAGCAGTGTGGTGTCGTCTGGCATGGCCATTCTGGGCAGTATTAAAGAAGGCTATATGTGGCCACACACGAGCAGTGCGCAAGTATATTGTAGATTGGTTTTCAGTTCTGCCATGGTGCAAAACAGATATAGTGCTGCAGTATATATTTGTCGACAGATTACAAAGACTAGATATCAAACTCCACAAAACAGAGTGTCAGACATGGGAGATTCCTATCAGTGGATCCAGAAGACCTGGGCATTGGCCGAAGCGACAGCGACAGCAGCGATGGCGAGGATAGTAGTGTAGGCGTTCATTGTTGAAGTTGGTTGGGTACTGAGGAGTTGCTGGTTGATGGTGGTGGAAGACGAGTTAGCGGGGGCGTCTTGCCTTTTATATATGTGGATGGATGACTGCCACGCCCAAGCAGCAGATATGCATTCTCGCTGAATACCGATTGTGCCAATTATATGCATTTATAAAATTGGGTATAGTCCTTGAAAACACTTACCGTAGAAAGGACATGCATGCACTCGTATTCACTCCCAATAGCGTGGGCTGCGATTGCCGCAATAAGTGCTGGGAGCATGCCATTCCGGATATCAGCACATGTTCTTATGCCACTACAAAGGGAAATCCCAGTCATTTTTGATGTCACGATACGCTGTCAATTGGTGCAATTGGTGCAATTGGGAAATGCAAAGTCGTGTACAAGACAAGGATATCGTCAGTTAATAAGGGATGCCATTCTGTCAATTGCATGTGCAATCCAGCAATTGTGCGCCACTGCAGGGTGCAATGGTGCATAGATGATTCTGGTGCCTGTATTGAGACTGGAACTCAGCCCGCTGACCATGGCTCTGTGGATCTGAATCGTCGATTGGTACGCCATTACTCCAATGATATTTCTACACCGACACTTGCACTGGCATGAAGGCGACCTGGGTATCTGCCATGAAAATCATCTTCTTTTTGTTCTGCACCGTATAGTCGCACAAGTAGTTCAACGATAACAAAATTGCTGGGCTTTTCATCACTTTAGATATAGCCGGACCATCTATGACATTTTGTTGACGACAGATACTACTACCAGATACCACAGGTAGTGAGCCAATAGCCACTACAAATCCGTAATCATATCGATAACTCAGCATCCACCAGTTGCTGATTTCTGAAGGCTGTTCGCAATGGTGATGGGCGAGTAGTTGCTTGCCCGCTATGCAACCGGCCTGGTGCTGGCATCGTAGCCGTGGAAAATGGTGGACTTCGCATATCTCCAGAACTCTGCTCACAATAAATGGCAGCAAGGGCACCTACCGCGTTCTTTTCTACTTCATTACTATTCACTTGTCTATTTTTCTGCCAGCTTTCTTACCAACCTTCTGCCATGCCTTCACATCCCCAAAGCTTGCCTAAAACCTGCACACCTCCATGCTAGAGACTGTTGACTTTTGTGTTTTGTGATCTCTGGTTGATAGGCAAGCTATGAAACAATTAGGTCATGCTCCACATTTGCATGTACCCGAGACACTTCACTTGTGTCGCCATTGGAGAGAAGTTCCTACCAAAACCTGTATGGAAATGCCTCCTGGCGCAGTGATCCGAACCCTTTTGCCTCCACCAACAATAGCTACAGCCGACATTTACTGGTAGATTTCTACGGCAGTTCATCATGGAAGTACTCCATATGCCATAGCACTAACAGTTTACTGGAGCGGCTTTATGGCATACTATCGCTTAAAGGACCCAGTCCCTCTAGAACCCCCCATGTGCCCACCGAAATACCTGTCGGCCACTGCAGCGCTGATTGACCTTTCCCTTTCTGAGGATAGTGACAACGTGAGCCCTTGTCATGAATTTCCCATTTCCAAATTCCACTGTAGCGATATATCCAGCTGCTCTCAGGATAGCTCCAAGCCTTGCTTCTTGCGCAACTTCAACTGCAGTACGTGGTCAGAAATGTAGAATGCAGTGCTTTCTACCTGCAGCTCTGTCAAAATTGTGCGCCTTGTCGTTTGTATCTGTATCCACATACTCACATGAGGTCGAGATCGAGACTATTTGGTGTAGCGCTCCATCCCAAAAACACCTTAGCGTCGGAAGCGCCTCTCAAAGAGTACTTGCAATGCTGACTACAAGCGACGACGGTATCCCTATTGCATATCCTCACATGGCCATTGAGGCTACACTATCGCATTGAGACTCCAGTGGATACAACTGAGCCTGATCCACTGCCTGGCACTCCGCTCCTTGCTTTCAAAAGATTGGTGATCGTGTGCAGGTATCAATTCAATAACGACGCCCTTTCAAGGGAATGACCCTTCACTGGAGGCTCAGTACATGCAGCTACACCCTTGAACGGCCTCGGTCCTGCGTGAGTGTGGTATTTTCTGTAGCAATCGACTTTCTGGACTCCAACAACTCGGAATGGATATATCAGACAGTGGAGTTAGTGGTAGGATTCAGCGCTGTGCGGGTTTTCGTGAGGTGCCAGAGTGCCTATTCATTATTGCTCCTGGAGCAAGAGTTCTGAAAGCTAGTAGGCACGGGGAACTCCAGCACAATTTCTGTGCCTATTGGTCTCATCAGTCGGAATAGTGAGATCCTGGACGTGCCAAATATCTACTTCACACCTCACCAGCTATTTCGAGTGTCCAAGCACCTACCATACCTCAAGCAGCTGAAACCCGATATCGATCCGACAGATATACTGCATGCTGATGGTGGTATCCATAGAGGATGTCATGATGTATGCCATACTCGTAGGGAACAAGTGGAAGAGCCAAGGCGGATAGCGGTCTATTTATCTTGCGGCCACACACATGTTATGAGCTCATCAGCCCTGTTGACATTGGAGTGCCGATCCACTCCCACGTCACCATGCCAACAACCAAACCACATAAAATCAGACCTCAGACAGACCGGACCCTCCCCTTTTCCTTCAGTCAATCTTGTTTCACTTTTATTTTAGCTCACATACACGCTTGTAAACACTCGTCCCATTTCCAAGGTTAACAAGCCCCATGCTCGGCCATCTGGATAGGAGTTGCTCGGATATGGATATTGCCAAACAGCTGAATATTCAGCGATATTCTCTGTCTACCAAGTTGACTGGTATGGAAGTAACATGGGATAGCTGAGTAGATGGATGTGTGTAAAACAGAAGCTATTCCCTTGGCACTCTGCCCAGCTACCCGATATGGGAAAACATATATACCAGCTACTAGATCCTCACACTTCCCTTGATCAAGCCTGGTGGTCAAGTGCTGACCTCACAGCGATTGCATGGACAAACCACCACCAAGAGTTTACTCGTCGTCTCGAAGTTGCAGCATCTGCCACTTAGTCTACGTTCCATTTATTATTCTCATAGGCTATTAACCCATGCATAGCCCACAGGTAGTGTGTGATTCAGCATATATTTACTGAAAGTATGAAGTAAGCGATGAAGAATGTACGTGAAAAGCAGGTTCAATTACATAATCTATTGATGTCTAGAAGTTGCTGACAAATTTGAAGTGTATATCCTTGATTTCTTGCAGCAATTGTAGCCCCGACATGGAGCCGCGTAGCTCGCCTTGCGGGCTTGCAGTAAGAGCGATGGTTTCCTTTTTGATTTCTTGCAGCCAATTTCAGTGGATATGCTCTACTGCGGCCGGTGTGCATGCACAGCTTGGTGGAGTATTATGCTATCATGAGTGCCTGCACGCTGCCCCCTTGAATATGTTTCATGCCAGAAATCAAGAGCTGCAACGAGGATAATGGCCATATCATTCTATCGAACGTTCCTACAAATTATTTTTACACATTTTGTTCCTAGAGATGTGATTAGAAACCTAAAAATACCTTGTCAATGGCTGTTTTCCTGAAGAAACAAGAATATGCACAGAAACCTCTGCGGAGAATGTTGCCCAGACTTGCTGTCCACAATAGTTGAGATAGTGCATATAAAATGGAGAAAGCGCCTTTGTTCGCCGGCAATGCTAACAAAAAAGCACTCCCTTTCTCTTCCCGTCTCCTTTTTTCATTACCATTCGAGTTTAGGGACGCCATTAGTTCTTCTCCAAGCAACCATGAATTTCAACAAGCTGAAGGACGTCGCCTCGGGCGCTTACAAGCAGTACAGCCAAGAAAAGTCCAAGAATAACAATACCCAGCACCAAGACTACAGCCACGGAAGCAGCGGATATCCTCCCCAGGATCCGTACGGCAACCAGGGCCAGCATGGCGGCTACAGCCAGTCGTCGCATGGTCAAGCTGGGCCAAACAGCTACCCGAGCCATGACCCATATGGCCAGCCCCAGCAGAATGCATATGGCCAGCCCCAGCAGAATGCATACGGACAGCCTCAGCAGAGCGGATACGGACAGTCTCAGCAGAGCGGATACGGACAGTCTCAGCAGAATGCATACGGACAGCCTCAGCATGGGGGGTATGGCCAGCCTCAGCATGGGGGGTATGGCCAGCCTCAGCATGGAGGGTATGGTCAACCCCAGCAGAGTGGATACGGCCAGCCCCAGAACTGCAACGATCCCTATGGAAACAGCGGCCCATATGGCCATAACCAGCAGCAGCAGCAGCAGCAGCCACAGCATGGACCGTATGGTGATCATAGCTCATCAAACAACCATGAGACTGCTCAAAAGTCGTCTGGTGTAAAGGTTGGTGGTGTTGATGTCGCTGCCGCTGCCACCCTTGCATCGGGTCTTCTGGGGAAGAAGAGCGGTAGCTCCCATGGCTCATCGTCCAGCGGCAAGATTGGCGGTGTGGATATCGGTACTGCTGCCAAGGTTGCATCTGGCCTCTTGGGGAAGAAGAGTGACAACTCCCATGGCTCGTCGTCTGGCGGCAAGATTGGTGGTGTTGATATCGGCACTGCTGCCAAGGTTGCATCAGGGTTTCTGGGGAAAAAGAGCGGTGACTCGCACGGGAGCTCAAACAAGTCTTCCAGTGGCATTAACATTGGCGCTGCAACCAGTCTGGCATCAAGCTTCTTTGGAAAGAAGGACAAGTCTGGTGGCCACTAAAGTATAGCATTTTGCTCATTAGTACCGTTTCTCCAATAGCACGCTAAAAATTACTCCTGCGGACTGGTCTTGATCCAGCCACGAACAGCGTTCCACAGCTCATCCTTGACTACCTCCTCCTCAATCGTGGCCGGCGTCGGAATCGGGCACACGTCGGGCGAGTTGCCATCCATAGCGAGCTTGCTGATCATCGACCGGATCATCTTGCGCAGGACCTTGCCACTACGGGTTTTGGGCAAACGCTCAACGAAAATAACGTTGTGCGGGTAGAGCGATGCGAATGGGCCGACGCGTTGGCGGATCTCCCTGACCAGGTCGTTCTTGATCTCGTCCAGCGTATGGTCTAGGCGGTGGTGCTTGAGCACGGCAATGACTACCGGCACGCTTCCCTTGATCGAATGCGGGCGCGCAACCACGCATGTCTCGGCGACCTCATTGTGCTCGACAATCACCTCCTCTAGCGAGCTGGTGGAGATGCGGTGGGCAGCCACGTTGATGATGTCATCGGCACGCGACAGAATGTGCACGTATCCGTCCTGGTCGATCATGCCGGTATCGCCAGTGTCGTAGTATCCGGGGAATCGCTTGAAGTAGGCGCTGAAAAAGCGCTCCTCGTCGTTCCATAGCGTGTTCATGATGCCGGGGGGCAGCGGCAGCTTCAGCACGATGTTACCAATCTCTCCGCGCGTAGCCTCCTCTGGACTGTGGTCGATTTCGGTGTCTTCGTCGAACTCATCCTTGATTCTGAGCACGCGCAGGTCAACACCCTGGACGGGCATGCCTGCGCTACCGTACTTGATTGGCGGAATCTCACTGCCGTTCTCGGACAGGCCGACCTGAATTCCGACCAGGGGAGAACCCGTCTCTGTCTGCCACCAGTTGTCCGAAGCCACGTTGTTTACAGGACCCACGATTTCGTGAACCACCTTGCCAGTGTCGTCAACACCAGTGACATGCCTGACCCACCAGCGGTGGATCTCTGGCAGGCACCGTTCGCCAGCAAGGAACATCGCCTTAACGTGCGACAGGTTATATTTTTTGCGATATTCTGCGTGCGGGTCTTCGCGGCGCAGGATCATCATGGCCGTAGGCGCTGTGAAGAATGTGTTGACCTTGTGCTGGTCGAGTACGCGGTAGAAAGCGCTGGGATCGGGTGTGCCGACAGGCTTGCCTTCGAATAGAACGGTTGTGCTTCCGTTGATCAGCGGGCCGTAGCAGATATAGGAGTGGCCCAGGATCCAGCCCAGATCACTGGCAGACCAGTATACCTTGCCAGGTGCGCACGCATACATGCGCTCCATCGTGTACTTCAGAACAACAGCATGGCTGCCGCTGGGACGCACTACACCCTTGGGCTGGCCGGTGGTCCCGCTGGTGTACAGAATATACAAAGGATCGTCCGAGCTCACAGTCTCGAATCCATGGTACAGCTCGTTGTCTTCAATTGCGTCGACCGCCTCTGCCCACGACACCTCACCCTCGTTGAGAGGCACCACCAGCTGTGGGCGCTGCAGCACAACAACCTTTGCCGGCCTCGACCTGCAGACCTCCAAAGCGCCATCCAGCAGTGGCTTGTACGGCACAATCTTGTCCTTGTTCTCGACGCCACAGGAGCTGGCCAGAATGACCTTTGGCTGGCAGTCCTCGATGCGCTTGGCCAGCTCGTTTGACGCAAACCCACCGAACACCACTGAATGAATGGCGCCCAGGCGGGCGCATGCCAGCATGGCGACGATTGCCTCAGGCACCGCGCCCATGTAAATCAACACACGATCGCCCTTGCTGACTCCGCTGCGCCGAAGCATGGTTGCCGCCTGCTTGACGCGCTCCAGCAGCTGCCCGTACGTGTACTTGCGCACCGAGCCGGTGACCGGCGAGTCGTAGATGAGCGCAGTCTGGTCAGCGCGGCCGGACTGCACGTGGCGGTCCAGCGCATTGTAGCACACGTTGAGTTTGCCATCGGGGAACCACGACACCTTGTGCGGCTTGGCTGGGTCTGGAGTCACCATCGCCCTTGTCGGCTGCTCAATCCAGTCGATTTCCTTGGCTGCTTCCATCCAGAACTCCTCGGGGTGGGTCAGCGAGTACTGCCGGATCTCCTCCTGCTTGTACACGGTCTGCGAGGCTGACCGGCTTGTTGTAAAGTGCCTTGAGTTGAATACAGACGGCTGTATCTTGGCAGTAGCCAGACCACACGGCGTTGCAGCACGGGCATTGCGGACGGCTGAGAGCTGACGAGCGCCAGATGGCACTGCAGCAGCGGGGCTCCGAATAGCCGATACGGCTGGGCGTCGGCTGGATGCTAGCGCAGTCCTCACAAGAGTGTATCGATTCATTACGTGCTGATAGACTGAAAAACTGGACTTGAAGAGTAATAAAGTGAGGCGCTTGTTTGTTGTCGGGAGAAATCAGAGCGCTCTTGGGAGAGAGAAGCCGAGGGTATTTATACCACGCGCCATTGTCTGGGATTCGGTGGGAGCCGGTGGGAAAAATACTGCAGAGGGATTGCGCCTTATCTTTTGGAACCAACTCCTGTCAATGCAGCGACATAGGGTAGCCTGCCCCTTCCCCTGACATTGCCACGAAACCTCGCTCAATCGCCGAGACAGCAGGCGACAATGGCGGTTTGCGGTCATGTGCTGCACCGTCAATCCTGTCCTCTGGCGAACAGTCACAGCGTGCCTTATCCACGCTTGTGTGACAGGGACCATGCGCTCCCGCCCAAAAAGGCCAGCGCTAATTAAGCAAAGGCAATCAGCAGAATGGTGATTTTTCTTCAGATTCTTGTAGCAGCTGGAGTAATGGAAAAGAAGGCTATTGGAAACATTGCTAATAGGGATATTTTGTAAAACACAGCGCGAGACGCATCTTAGGCGCGCGGAATCCGGATGACCAGCACCTCGGCCTCGAACTCGACGCGGGCCTCCTTCAGCTTCGTCTTGGGCGGCACAGCAAAGCCCTTGCAGAACGACACGTGCTCGCCGCGAGTGCACGAGCACGAGTGCTCGACGTGCTCCGGCCACATCCCGCAGTGCGAGTGGAAGACGCCCTCGCCATGGACAACGATCTTGCCCTCGACCACATCGACAAAGACCTTGGACTTGTCGGCGCCAGGCAGGTAGGCGTGCAGCTGCCAGATCTTGTCGGCCGTGTAGTCCTTCATGGTCGGGCACCACTCGGACTCGACGATCGCGTACTTGTCGATGACCTTGTAGCACGGGTAGATGCGCCAGGTGGTCGGTTCCGGCTTGGGCGCCGGCTTGGGCGGGGGCGGCGCCGGCTTGCAGCAGTGGCAGTCGTGGTGGTGGTGGCAGCAGCACGAGTGGCATGACGAGTGGCATGACGAGTGGCAGCTGTGGCCGTGCGACCCCTTGCACTCCACCTTCTTGACCTCGACCTTCTTCTCCTCCTTCTTCTCCTCGACCTTCACCGTGACCTTGACCTCCTCCTTCTTCTCCTCCTTCTTGCACTCCACCTTCTTCTCCTCCTTGCCCTTGCACTCCACGCGCACCTTGGTCAGCTTGGGGCCCGGGAACGCCGGGTGGTTCGTGTCCCATTTGTGGAAGATGTCCTCGCCCAGCGGGTGGAAGAACATGTCTGCTGCCTTGTGCAGGCATCCGTCGGCCTTCTTCAGGTCCTTGTCAAAGCTGCTGAACATCGACATGGTGGGTTTGTGTATGTGGGTTGTTGCAGCGGGTCGTGGTCGTCACGTTGTACAGGTAATATAGCGGCCGTCTAATTGTCCTTGTAGCGTATGCGGGGGTGTAGCTGATGCAAATAAATGTCGCAGAGGTCGTCTATCCTGCAATATCGCGGTTAAAGGAAGCGGCTAGCAGAAAAAGTGTGCGAATAGTCAAAAAATGTTTTCGTGCTGAAGAAGAGAAGAGAACTGCTCGGGCCGCTCGCCTCCCTTTGCTTGCTCCCGGTCTTTATGTGGGTTTTGCGAGTCAGCGGGGGATAGGGTGCGAGGCGTGCCGTTGTTTTTCTGCTTTTTTCTCTGCTCCGTCCAGGCCAGTCCGCTCTGGGGAGGGGGAGGGCTCCAAGTGTAGTGCGCAGTATCCCAAGCGTGCGCCCAGCGGACGCCAGCGATATAGTGTTGGTCACGATTTGCATTCCTATTTCTCAGCGCCGGCACTCTCGCTCAGTATAGTGCAGCTGGAGGTGCATGTCCCACATCCCCAAGGAAAAGAAACATGCGGTGATTCGAGGACCTGACCGGCGCCATGATATTGTGCCATCTTCGTCGCGCTCCCAGTCGAGCGGGCTCCTCCCCTACGTGCGCGGGGCAGGCAGGTTCTGAGCGCCTGTATTTGGTGGAAAAGCACTGTAAGGTTAGAGTTTGGATGCAGGCAGCAGATCAACAATCGGGTCAACTTCGACGCGTGCCTCCTGGGCTGTGCTGGCAACAAAGGACCCGTCCCTTGAGAACATCTCGCCGACCACTATACCGCGCCCATGACTGAGCTGCGGGCACTCGGTCTTGTACAGCAGAAAGTCGCCCGGGTCCGCCGGCTTATGGAACCACACATGGTGCCCGATCGAGACCAGTCTGCGCAATGTGTCTGGCGCCGGGGCAACGCGCACGCCAAATGGCCGTAATGTGACCCGAGTGAAGAGCAGATCCGAATACATGACCAGAATGCACTGCTGCATCTGCTGCGACCGCAACCTGTTGTCCGGGCACCGCAGCCACAGGTGCTGCTTGGCAGGCGCAGGCACAGCTATGTCCTCGTCGACCTCCTTGACCCAGATCTCCGCCGGAAACCCGCCCGGGTAGCCCTGCGGATCCAGCACATAGTGGTTTTCGGATGCAGGGTTGCCACCGGCCACCGGCAGCGTGCCAGGCGCCCCTGCCTCGGGCGGCACAAAGCCAGGCATTTCCTTTTGGTAGGCGTGCTTGCTGGCAACGTTACTGCCGTGGGTTACGAAATTGCAAATCATATGCATGACAGGCTTGCTGTTCTGGTGGCTGGTGATTACACGCGAGCAGTAGTTTCGCCCTTGGCCCAGCGTGGCTACTGTGAAATGCACTGGTGCGGAGACGGTTACGCGCCGCAGGAACTGCGTGTGCAGGGAGTGTGCGACCCAGTCGGCGCCTGTGGTGCGGAATGCGGCCGCCAGGGCCTGGCCCATCAGCTGGCCGCCAAACACAGAGGGCGCGTGCGGCGGATTCCACAGCTGTCTGCTCTTGAACGACCCGTCGCCAACTTCCTCCAGCTCCAGCAGTGTGTCGATGTCGAGTGGGGGTTCCATGTGTGGTTGCATGGCGAAAAAATGTGCTTGCAAAGGAATGTCTATGGTGTGTCGGAGTTTTGCCCATTCGCGACCAGGCAGGGGGGCTATCATTTATATGCAACCAAGGCGGGCTACAGACATCGGCAGGGTGTCTGTTTGGATTCCGGTTCACTACGCAATGCGCGCCATGCATTCTGCTATTTGGTTATTTTGGTTTTTCAATAGAGGAGTCCAGGCGCCACTGCCTGGCAATGGACCGGGCATAAACGTGCTGTTCTGCAGACCAGTACGCCACAGCCGAGCGGCGCTCCCTGCTGCCCGCAACGACAACAACCGCCAGCGGCATATCAATCGCTGTGCTGTGCCGGAAACGGAGACATGGTGTGGATTCAAGCGCATTTATGCATCACCCTGTATTGAAGCCACATCAAGCAGCCTGGCAAAAAATAGTGCACTCAAAACATATGATGGTGTTTCTTGGCAAGTTGGAAATGGCTATTGGGGTGCTGACGACTCGTCGCGCATCTGCTGCTCAAACTCCTGCTGTAGCCTGCGTGCCAGCTCTTCGTCGCCAGAGGTATCAGGAATGGTGGTGTCAGGAACCGATGTCTGGCCCAGATCTGGTGGCGCTGTAATCTCATCGTCATCCTCTTCCTCCTTGAGTAGATCCTCCTCAACCTCATCTTCCTCCTCCTCATCCGACGACCCATCGGCCCACCGGTCCTTCCACCGCTCGACCTCATCAACTGCGTCGTCTCCGTCCTCCTGCGGCGCTGCTGCTGTCGGTGGTGGCACGACATGTGTCCGTTGCGACATGCTGTGCACAGGGCTCTCCAGCTCATCCAACACCTCTTCATTGGCGACAACATCGCGGGCCTCGTTGCCCATCGACATATCCAGCAGCTGCTCAATGGTCTTTGGTACAAATCCCTGGTTGCTCTCAAACACAATCTCAACGACCTCCGAGTCAATATTCGGGAACATGTCGCGCACCAGCGCCAGCGTCGCGGTCCATTCAGACGTGCCCATGATCAGCTCCTGCACATTGGCCGTGTCCTGCTGGCTATGCGAGTACTCGCGCTGGTGCCTCGGCTGACGTGAGGACTCGCCCGGGTACTGGGTGCTTGCGCTGCTATCGCGGCGGCTGGGCGATGTGGCGCCGGTCTCCGAGGCATTGGGCGTCGACAGCTCGGAGATGAGGCGGCCGACAAAGTTGTTCGTTTTCTCAAGGGTGGTCTTGGCAATGCCGCTGCCCTTGTCGATCAACCACTGGGCGCGCTCGGCGCTGAGATCCGGCACGGGCCTGCGCTGGGCCTCCTGGCGCTTCTGCTGGGCGGTGCGCTCCTTGCCGCGCTTCTCGGTCTCGATCTCCCAGATGGTCATCTCGATGTTCTTGTCGAACTCGTCCTGTGTGATGGACAGGCAGGAGGCATCCATGCTTTCAATGAAGGCCACGGCGCCCTGCAGGTTTGTCACATAGTAGCCGGCCTCGGACTGCATTTTCTCGGCCGACCGGAACCGCATGATGTACTGGATGTTGGACACCAGCTTGGGCGGCGCTGCTGTAATCACGACGTAGATGAGCAGCGGCAGGAATTTGTCGGCGCCCACGTCGTTGCCCTTCATGTGCTTCAGCAGACCGTAGATCACCGTGCAGCAGTTTAGGACGCAGATGACCTTGTCGCGCGGCGACTTGAAGTTGTTCATCTTCAGCAGCTCGGTCTTTGCGAACTGCAGGAAGGCCGTGTTCTGCGGGCTCTTTGGTATGTCCAGGTGCTCCTCCTTGATCCACCGGAACAGGCTCACCTTCTCCCTCAGCACCCGGTCCTTGTCCGCGTCGTCCGAGGCCGTCGGCGAAAAGCACACCGGGTACAGCCGATTCATCACCAGCTTCTCCATGCCCTCCCTTGCATTCTCAAACTCGCGCTCGCCCGCATACATCCACACGCTGCACTCGCGCATCTTGCCCGAGATGAAGTCCAGAAAGTCGTGGATAAACCTGACCTGCTCGCCAAGCGTCAGCGGCCGCCGCGCAAACTCTGTCAAAAAGTTCTTGACTGTGCGTGCCACCGGCTTGGCCTCGGGGTTGCGCAGCTGCTGCAAGAACGTGTTGTAGTTGAACCCGTCGGTCTCCGGTTGAAACTGCGCACGCAGCTCTGCCGTCTGCTCCGACGCGGCTGCCTCGGCCGCCTGCGTTGACTGCGAGGCGCTTATCTTCAGCGGGTCGAACTGGTTGATGATGTCTTGGATTGCATCGTGCACTTTGGAGGTTGAGGAGACCCGCTGTACTACTGGCGGCGGAGGCAGCGCCTCTGCCAAGGTCTCGGCTGGTGTCGAATTCTCTGGCTCATTTGCAGATGGCGAAGCGTCGGGCACGGCAATTGGCTCTGTGGGCTGGTCGCCGGCTGGCTGTGCGGTCTCCTGGTTGTCATTTTAGCTCGGCGGTCTGACCGGTGTCGGCTTTCGGAGTCTCGACGGTGTTGGGCTTCGCCTCTGCCGTTGGCTCTTCGCCTGCAGCTGTATCAGGCTTAGTCATTATAATGGAAGCGAATTGGATTGCTCTAGAAGGCGCTGGCAGGAATGGAGTAAAAACGAGGCAAACGTGCAAGCAGCAGACAGAGCCTGGTGTCGTCAGTGGAAGGCGGCGGTCACGCTTACCAATCTAGGCTGGCAGAAAATTATCCTCACTCACCTTTTTCTTCTCTCCACACGCAGTTTTCTCATATACCACAGATAGCATTTCAGCGAAAATGGACGCACTACTCAAGTGGGCGATTCTGAATGGAGCCACAATGAACGAGGACGCGCCGGACAACGGCACGCGGCCAGAGCCAAAGAAGATCGATCCCGAGATCCTCGATGCGATCCTGGGCAAGCCGGCCGTCGGTGCAGATGACCGAGTGTGTGGACGCAGCCGAGGACACGACGCAGTCGGTCGACGACCGCGAGATCGCGCTGGACAACCTCGAGATGCTCATTGAGAACATCGACAATGCCGCCAACCTGCAGCCCCTGGCGCTGTGGCCGCGGCTGGTCAAGCTGCTCGACGACCCCGAGCCGTCGGTGCGCACCGGCGTGCTGTGGGTGATGGGCACGGCCGTCCAGCACAACCCGAAGGCGCAAAAGTCGTTTGGCTCCAACAGCTGCCTGAAGGCGGTGCTGGAGGTGCTGCGGGAGGACACGGTGGGCGAGGTGCGCGCAAAGGCACTGTACTGCATGTCGTCGTATGTCCGGGCGAATGTGGCTGGGCTGACAGAGTTCATCAGCCAGGGCGGGCTGCTGGTGCTGCTGCAGGCGATCGAGAGTGCGGCCACGGTGCTTGGCCAGAAGACGTTCTTCTTGCTGCGCGCGCTGATCGACGAGGCTCTGGATGAGGAGACGCCGCAGGAGCTGCGGCCTGGCAGCACGCTGGCCGACGCTATCGTCGAGCTCGGCTTTGTTTCCGGCCACAGCCAAGGCGATCCAGCCGATGGTTGCGAGCGGCGAGTCGGGCGCGGTGGTCGAGCAGGCAGTCATGTTCTTGGCTGCTCTGACCGGGACCGCAAAGGGCAAGGGCGCAGTGAGCGGGAGCGCGGAGCTGAAGGAGCTGGCGCCGAAAATCAAGCAGACTTTTGGCTGATTTTGACATTGCCGGGCTGGACACGCTGCTTTGAGGATCAGATCAAACCAACGCGATGGCTGGCAAAATGCTCGCGTTCAAACAGAATGCGCGCAAGCAGACTTTGCGTTTTTTCAACTCCTCCAAAATACACATTTTACACATATTTTTCCTCTCACTTTGAAATGCTGGCTGACAGTACCGCGCAGAGGGTGTTTAACCGCGTAGAGGGCGACGACAGGCACGCCGCCGGAGCACTCGGGCGCGTTCCGGATCGGCCATCGCTCGTACATACAGCAGTTTGCCAAGTTCTACTCCGTGCGCCTCGACGCGCTCAAGCCGCTGGTGCTGGCCAGCGCGCAAAAGAAATGGTCGTCGCGGGCCTCGTGCACAGCCAAAGTCCTGAACGTCGAAAGGTCACAGCTGACATATATTGCTGGCAC